AGTTACTTTTACATGATATTTTCAGTTTCATACTACTAGAAACGAACTCCTACCCATGGTGGATAGGATAAAATATGTACACCGTTGAAGTCAGCGGTGAAACCTATAATTTTTGGCAATTCAACGTTGAATTGTCAAAAATTGTAGGCTCATATCGACAGTGGACAAGATAACTCATATTCACTACGGGTAAAGATCATTTCTGTTCAAACTACCTTAAGATCAATTATATTCATGTGTATCAGGTGGTCTCAAATTGCTGCACGTCTTCCAGGGAGAACAGACAACGAAATTAAGAATTTTTGGAATTCTTCCATAAAGAAGAGGTTGAAAAATAACAATATCACTTCAACAACAACAACATCCTCTCCAAACAAATGCAAGACTGTCTCAATATGGGATACTGTCACAGGACGAATGATATTGCCCATGCACGACTACTCGTACGACGTCGTAAACACATGCATGGATTCATCTTCCTCTAACAGCCACTTCAACCCTTTTCCACCAGTACTTGACAACAGTTTCGACACAAATGGTTCGTTAAATTTTCCGAAATATGTGACACAAGTTGGGAGTTCAACAGGAAATCGAGGGGAATTAGGGGATTATGGAGTGATGTGTGTACCTGGATCAGAGGGTTTCGGGGTTGACAACATGAACAATAATGGTGTCATGAGTAGTGATTATGTCTTTGACCAGAAAAATGTCATTTATCATAATAATAATAATAATAACTTGAATAATACTGAAAGCATGAAATTAGAGGACATGGTTGGGTTTGGAAATCATTGGCAAGGAGAAAACTTCAAATTTGGAGAATTAGATTGGGAGGGTTTGTTGGATAATGTCCCCTCTTTACCTTATCTTGATTTCCAAGTTCAATAATCTCTCTCTCTCTCTCTCTCTCTCTCACTTTCTGAAACAATCTTGAGATACTTCTTGGGTTTTTGGTGGATCAAATTGTGAATATACAGGTGAAGAAGAAATAAAGGCTAGTTTTTGAGTTGTACCTTGTTTCTTTTTTGTACAGATGGAAAGCATTGAGAAGAAGCAGACAAATGTAATCGCTACAGACAGAATAAAGAGATAATTAAGATTTTCTTTTGTCAATTAATAAATTTTTGAATTTGCAAAATTTATAAATTATCAAATTTTATTTTTAATCACAAATTAATTCTAATAGACCCACAAATATTTTTCACTTATTCACCCCTTATTTATTGGCAGCCATTATCATTGGTGCACTGCAGCAGGTAAAAAGAACTCTGTTAATTATCAGACAGATAGATAAACTTACCAATTGGCTTTATATGTCACATTGGCCACAATATAACCTTACATTCTCCCGCGTGCCAAAAATATGTAAGTGAAAATGTCACGGCATACCGTTAAAAAATAATTTTATTTAAAAATTACTGTTATTATTATTATTTTTTTAAAAATATACTGCCTTTTTTCCCACACTTTCCTTGCATCCGACCACCCACCACCACCATCACACTCATCTATTTCCACCATAACTCCGGCTTACACCACCTTTTGCCGCCATCACCTCACACAATTACGCACATCAACAACCCGACCACCACCTAGCTAGAAACTTACGGGCACCATGATCACCACTGTGCGAGGTTAGGTTCTGTCAAAGAAAGAAGACGGTTGAAAGGCGATATATTTGAGGCTCTAATGTATCTCAAGGCATGGAAATAGGCAAACTATCGAATTTGAGATAAGATTGCTAGTGCAACTGTTGAAGATTTTCAACAATTATAATCTCGACGAATTATATGGTATACAATATGCAAGTTTTAGATTAATTACAGTATGCTACCATTCATTTTTGTAAAATTAAAAAGTAAATAAATTTGTACACGGAATAATAATTCATGTACAATTTTAGCTCCACCTAATTATTACATAGCCAGTCCTAAGTCCCTAAGGAGGAGGATTTTTATGACTTCAAAATCATATATCAAAAAAATATACAAAATTGATTATCTTAATCTTTTAAGAATATGTTAAGTTACAAAATAACATTTATATATTTTCATTTCAATTTAAAAATAAATAAATTAATGAGCCGGAGAGAAGTTTGCGCACCAACTTGGCTCCCTCACTAGAAGGTGAGTTAGAGGGACGAGCCTAGTCAAGTTGGCTTGCGCTCTTCCCGATCCAAAGCGAGCAAAAGCTACTAACAATCCTAGCTAATTACAACATATAAAAGTGGAACATCATCACTTTG